CTAGTTCAAAAGAAAAGATTCATTGATTAAAATCAACATCATTTTAAGCTTGTTGGCATAAAAGAATATTTGTTATTAAATAAAAATGTGATACTTACATATGATGGACAAGAGTCAAAGCTTTCTGAGAAACTGTAGAGTACAGCCTGTTCAAAGATATTGTGGACTTCTTTAACAAGAATTTTGTCTAGGTTTTGCTCCTGAAATGTGCTTAGTGAAAGATACTACTTATAGTTAACACAGTGCTGAAGAAGTAGGTTTTTCAGCCATAATACATGGTTTGGTATTAAACTGTGATTTGTCATCTTACAGGAAAATGCAGTGATTATTTACAGTGGCTTTTTACAAAAAATAAATGTAGAAATACCATGTGTCTGATTTAATAACCACAGAACTATCCACAACAACTGCACTGCTGCTTCCTACTTGAATGTTCAGCCCTTGGAGCAATGAAAATGAAATTACTTATCAGTTTTCAGAGTGTCTGTCCCTTTATATTTCATTTTTACTCTGAATGTTTTTTATGATGTAGACATCTGTCTGCTAGAAATTTAATCAGTACAACTAACTCATTTCAGCCAGCCCTGATCACTTAATCTAAATCCAAGAACTAAAAAGGATACAAAAACTCCTACCTTTAAAAATAAAACAAAATTAAATCCCACCATTATCACGTCCTTAGATCATTTTTTTTCACTGGTTGCTAGGACTTACATTGTAGAATTCTTACTGAATATGCCCCAAGACCTGCTATTATTACCCATTTTTTCTGAAGTTGACCAGACAGTGAAGGTTTGTTCACAATTGTAGACAGACTGTATTTACTCCCACCACCCGGGTGAGAATCTGTTTGTGGGCAGTACTATACAGGAACAAAACTAGATACCTTCTCTGCTTGGCAACCCTTAACATTGTCTACCCAGATGATACAATTCAACTATAAAATTGTTTTACCAGTCAGCAAATGCTGAACACCACCCACATTGCCAGCTAACAGATGGTCAAGTATGACTTAAGTTTGTTGAATTTTACTGCTTCATTTTCTCAGGTTCATAACTCAGTGAAAAAGCCATGAAGGCAAATATCAAGTAAATGTAACATTTGAGGTACATGCCACAATCTTTATAAACAGCTTTATAATTACCTTACGTAAATGAATAATGTTACTTTAATAATTCCAGTGTTCTCCAAGTATAAGGAAATGTTTATTTAAAATAGGTTGTATTCTGATGGTGTGAATATCAGTGATTTTTTTCAACCACTTCTAGATATTGGTAGGCAAAATTATTCTGTAAGAAGAATTCAAGGTTGTACTCTACTGCCAGTTGGTCTTATAGTTAAAAGGCGGGGGAGTGGGGTGGGGAAAGACCAGATTAGTTATCATTTTGAACAAGAAACCTTTATACAGGGACTAAAAGGCAAAATGAATTCATTAACTTCAAGTTGCCACCTAATTGAATGAGGCCACTTTATTTTTAAAATGAAACCATTACAAATTCTGTATGTGTTGTGTGGTTCAGTGTCCTCTCAGTGATCTTCAAATTCCTGGTATAAAACTCTTCTCTTCTAAATGGCAAACCCCCTGACTCACCATGTTCTCTGTGTGTGAAGCAAGGTTCTTCCCTTTTATCTGTATCATCAGTAACAGATGTTATTCAGGCCGAATCATACACAATTTAAATCCTTGTAACTCCCTTCATCTTACTCCTTACAATTCATTGGTGCTGATGGAGTTAGGTACAGATGACTGCTTTGAACTTATTTACTAAGTTTGATTACATTTGCAAGAAAGACTAGAATCTATTTCACTGACTTATCTGTATTTGTTCCTGCATTCCTAATGGGATTAAAAGGTGGTGGTGAGAGCTGATTTTTGTCTTCAAGCAGTAAGTGTCACTATGAATAGACACAGCTGTAATACATGATAGAGAAGTGCTCATAACTGTCAGCATTCAAATCTAAGATGTAATGTGACACAGAATCCCAAGTGGAGGACAGATTACCTTCCATGCACTTTTAATAATTCGCTTCTTGCCAAGACTACTAGTAAGGTTGTAAGAACTATTTGTAGAAATGTTGTAATTTGGACTCACTTACTGAGAATAGGCTCAGACTACTAAATTTCACAGTTGCAACAATTTCAATCACTGCAGGACTGCACTGGGCCAGATTTGAAACATAAGCTTAAATAAAAAAGGTTTTGTGTTCCATTGTTAAGTGGACTATTAGCTCAACAGATTAACAGAAAGATCCTTGTTTAACATGAATACACTGCCTCTCCTTGTCAGAGCCTCAAAAACCATTGTAGTATATAACTGGTTAGTCAGCATCAACAAAGGATAATATGATGTGTATACCTGTTGCGTATATGCATAGAAATCCCAATTTATGTTACTTGTTATGAAGGCCTAGTAATTTAAAGACGCATTGCCACTTTAATTTGGCTCAATATGGCCCAAAAGTAAATTTAAAAATAATACTTTTATTTACTTACTTGTCCTTTGAATATTTGGAATCTTTAGAAGTCACATATTCATATTTTCAGCCTTCATCCACAACCCCAAAGGTTTGATTTTTTTATTTTTTTTATTACTGCCAGAAGACGTATCATCCCCTAGGGTATGCCAGGACCTTTGCCTTCAGGGAGCTCACAATCCAGTTACTGTGTTGCCATCTTCATGTGTATGGATGTAGCCAAGTTAATATGCAGAATCATCATTTTCCTCTGCTCAGAATGATGATTCTATGTATTAACTTGTCTATATCCACTGAATGAAGCATAACTAAAAACCACCTATAAAAGAAATCAGTATTATTCGCTAATACAGTGTGTTCTCCCTGTGCTTATACATGCCATCACCAAAACTGAAAGAAAGTGGCCATCTAATCCTCACCCACAATTTTGTACCTTTTCTGATCAATTTCATCAGAAAAATAATAAGCACTCTTACTTCCCTGCTGCATGCCCTCAACTACAATTTGCTATTTCTTTTTGGATAACTGTTGTTATCTTTGAAGTGATATATTTAAGGCACCCCTGCCCATTTCTTCTCAAAACCTGTCTTGTTGGGGTTTTTTTCTCATTCATGCCATTTTTCTAGCAATTTACTTCATCTTGATCTCTAACAACAACTTTAACTCATGCACTGCATATTTAGTGCCAAAACATCTCAAGGCACTTTACCACAAATGTCAGTGGCTTCATCACACAGTTGATAGTTCCAGGTTCTAAACTGCAAGTTGAAAATAAAGGGAAAAACAAGTGACTTTTCAGGATGATTTTTGAAGTGGAACTGTAGAAGTATCCATGACATCTCTGTACAGGTAGTTTCAACAAGATGCTAAATAAAAGAAAGTACCATGGATGTTACTTGACGTGTATCTACACAAAGCTAAGTGTCAGAATACCTCAACTGGCATAAACTGTTTCCCTATTAAAGCAAGAGGGTTGTTTTAAATGGAGAGGAGGAACACCTGGAATCTGATTAGCAGCCAGTTTTAGCTCAGTTAAATTAGGTTCTTTTACCATCTGCTCCAGGGGTAGGCAACCCCTGGAGTATGGGTGCCAGAGTGTGGCACGCGAAGGCATTTTGCTTGGCATGAGCACCTTGGGGCAGACGGCAGGGAAGAGGCCAGGGCTGCACTGCCACAACAAGGATTGGGCCCTTCACAGCTCCCCTGCCATCTGCTCCTGACACACCAACACCTTACAAACCAAGCTTGCAGGTGTTTTTTGGTCCAAAAATGTTGCCTACCCCGATCTACTTTAAATAAGGATTTTAGCAGAGACTTTTTTCAGCTGTAGCCTGTTGATTGAGGATCCAGCAATAGCAGAAAAACTAGATTACTATAGTCTAAATAAGATAAAGCAAGGGATATTGATTTATCATAGAATAGCAAAGTCACATCCTGTGTTATTCTTAATATTGAAATAATAAATGTTGTCACTATTATTTGTAATGCAAATGCTGGAATAAAGCAAAACGTGTATGTTAAAGTGATTAAACATATTTCTTTCACTTCTTACTCTATTTAAACTGAAATGCAACTGTATCTTACAAGGAAAATATGAATGCAATAGCCTGTTTTAATCCATTAAATCAAGACTTGCTATGAAGGGACAAGTGAACAAATATTTAAGCAAGCAATATTAGGAATAGAAAAACTATATTATTGAAATAGCAAATGGCATTTCATACAGTACTCAGGCAGCGAGGGATATAAATGCTTCCATTTATAAGCAATTATATGTGCTATCAAAATACATTGTAGAGCAGAGTGAATAATTAGCTACAAATAATTTATTTCTTGCCTATTCCTATTTGAACTGTAATTAAAAACATGCAGATTATTTCCCTCCCAAACATATTCGCTGTGCCCATTTATTGACAGATATCTTTTTGAGCTTTTTAATATGAATATTCACAATTTGACCTATGTTGTTCAACTATAATTGGTCAAATTACATTTCATGATTTTGAGTCTTCTCTGACTGGATAAGCAGGTCAGCACTACTGAAATGAGTAAATGCTTGTCCTTCCGTAATTTAAAATTCTGTTCCCCTATACAGTATACTTTGATACATGGCCTGGAATTTGCTTTCTGCAACCATTTTGCTAGTCCAACTATATTTCTTTAAAAAAAAAAAAAATATATATATATATATATATTTATGTATATATATAAATATTTATTTATTTATTTTGGTTTGTTTTGCACTGATCAGCAAGCTGTAATGCTGTGTGTTTCTTAATGTTTTGTGGAAATGTAGCCAATTATCAATAGCTAAAGTTATGATATATCTTGATATTGTCGTATGCAATTTGATGCAAAAAGAATACTGCACTTGAACTTAAAATGACACTATCCTTTGTTTTGTAAGAAATGGTAAATGAGTGCCGCTTCTGTCCTTTGTTTATATGCTAATCTTTTAGTATTTTTTCTACTTGATCTTCTTTTCACCCTTTAGAGAGTATTAACTTGCATTTATTGTCATATAGCCCTGAAGTTGTAAAGAGTGAACCATATGGAGAGAAGGCTGATGTCTGGGCTGCAGGGTGCATCCTTTATCAGATGGCAACACTGAACCCTCCTTTTTACAGCACCAACATGCTCTCTTTGGCAACTAAAGTATGCTGGTTTGCTAGATCAGTCTGCATATTTATCTTGGCATGCATCTTATGAGTCCCTCACTCCCCCAAAGTTCACGTAAAAGATTGTAAGAGACAGGCTACCTTGCTGTATAGAAATGTGAATGAGTAGAAATGAATCTTCTAGCAGGATTGCTGTGTTGACATTTAGACTTAATAGGTAGGTTGCTGGGCTGCTAACAGTTGCACTTTTTAAACAATATTATGTTGTTCCATTTAAATTAGCAGTGCATTTTTAATTTCATCCAGTGCTAGGACTTTAAGATTCTGAACATTCTTACAGTTCAGTCGGTCTGGATTTGCTCTATGGTTGTGCACTACTCACAATCTACTTTAGAAGAGGGATGTCAACAATAAAGTCTTTGGGTCAGATTGAGCCCACAGAGTCCTATCATCCCACCAGCTGTGTTGTCTGTGGGTCTTGGACAGGCCCTACCAATGCATGCAGCATAGACTGGCCCTGGCCCTGGCCCTGGCCCTGGCCCTGGTCCTATGCACTCCATGTTGCATGCAGAGCCAGTTTAGTCTGCCCTGCATGGGGCTGGACCCAGCATGCATGCTGCATGCAGCATGAAGGGCCAGTCCAGGGCACATGCTGCATGTGGCGCACAGGGCAGTCTGGGGCATTCATTGCATGCAGCACCCATTATAGCTGGGACCTGTGTGCTGGATCCAGGGCTGGTCCAGACTGAGCCCATAGAGCAGCCCCACACACCAGATCCAGCATGCAGGGTTAGACTGGTGCAGGAGTCTCATGCGGCGAATGCCCCAGCCATATCTGCACACTCCGTGCAGCAAGTAGAGCTGGAGCTATCGCAGTGTGTGGGGCTGGTCCAGGGCATCCACTAGCATGGGTGTGGTCTCTGGGCCCGATCTGGCCTGTGGACTAGCCCTACACCCCTTCATTTGGCCCATGGGGCTGGGACAGTGTAATACCCCTGCCCTAGCACATTGTCAGAGATGATAACATTTTTTGCAAGTGCAAATGTCACCATGATACTGCAGTTCCTTTTCCTACAGTTATTTTATACATATACTAGTCTGAGCATCTGATAACAGACATTCTGCATTAGAAGATATGCCCCAAACTTCCATTATGAACTTGTGCTAGTGATGTAATACCTGTCATGTTTTTACAAGGAAAAACATTAATCACACACATTTCCTTACATATAATGGAATAATTTTCCTCTATTCACTCTAGACTATTTGTTTTGCAGATAGTAGGGGCTATGTATGAACCAGTGCCTGAAGGAGTCTACTCTGAAAAAGTGTCAGTTACCATTAAAAGGTAATTACTCATGTAGTTTTATTTCTGTATCTTGCCAGAAAGGTTCTTTGTTGGATTCAATTTCATTAATAAGGATGGCAATGTGACAACTTCCTGACATTAGCAACCTTCAGTTTTCAACTCTGAATGTTTAAAGGGCTTCAGATTTAAAAAAGATAGAGATCTGCTCTCATGGCTAATACTAGACATGCAATAGGTGAGACTTGCAAGCGTGTGGCATTGTGGTCACCGTGTTTATCCTAGACTTTTGGAAACACTTATTCTACATGGAGGTGATGATCAAACAAATGAATCACAGCAATTTTAAAAAGAGGTGGGGACATGGTATGGAGCAAGTGAAGTATGGTAAGTGTGTCTGCTCTGATCCCATATAAGGGTAAGTGAAACCGCACAGTTTAGCTGTAAGTGAAACTCATGAATAGGATGGTGGTGCCTAAATACCTTTTTAGATCTGAAGTTACTGTATTTAATTTTAATTTACTGTAGGATAAGATTAGGGACATAGATAGTGCTTCAGCTGCTATCTAAAAATTCACTGTAATTTGCTTCCTGGGCAAGTACCCTAATTTTAGGCTTTCGGACCAAAGATGAGTGATCCTTCCCTCTTTCCCCACCTTATTGCTAATCGTGATCTTTTTCAAATGAACATTTCAGAGACTTGCATAGAATGTATACATTTTTACAGGTAGATTTGAAATTACATGGCCACCAAGTTCTATTGGATCACTTTTAAGCACATGCAGATGGTTAAGTTTAGTTGCATAGGGTTAAATCTGTCAAAGTGGCACCTAATACTACTTTCCTGTCTGGAAGGCAGAATAGAATTTGGCCAAGCCCTAAAAGTTTACGGTTAAGTGCTACTTAGTGCTACTTAAGTGCATAATAGACAAAGTGGAATTTTGCTTAAAGGCCCCATGCATGTGCAAAGACAAGAACCATCCAACTGGTTTCAGTTTTATCCTTTTTGCTGCCCAGCATAAGCATTCATAAATACAAACCAATTTGTTAGTGGCATAAAACAGATATCTGGGAATAAGTGATAAAAATTCATTACTGTGCATGGGTGTTTCATTGGATTATGAATTTTTTCATAGGTGCTTGACCCCTGATGCAGAGACTCGTCCAGATATAGTAGAGGTCAGTTCGGTGATATCTGATGTGATGATGAGGTATTTAGATGGCTTATCCACCTCCCATCTTACCTTGGAGAAGAAGCTAGAGCGTGAGAGGAGACGTACTCAGAGATACTTCATGGAAGCTAATAGAAATGCAGTAGCTTGTCACCATCAGCTTGCCATCTTATCGCATGTGAGTAAATGTTAGAGCTTTTTTTGTCTATCATATTATCCTTTACCTGTACATCTCGGACTAATAAAGCATAATTGTTCCTAATTTAAATTTAAACTAAAGGGTTCATCGTTTTATATCAGATAGATTAAAAATTCTTACAGGCTTTTGAATTTATTTTATACTTTATTTATTCATTTTCTGGGAGCATACAAATACAGTAACAACTATAATATCTTAAACACTAGCATCATTCTGTACTGAAAATGGAATGAAACAGACTAGAATATGAAGGCTCTTGCATATTTTATAGAATATCCTAACATTTAATTATGTATGCAGTCTTGTAAGTGGCTGGCAAATAGCACAATCCACACTTGGTCAGAGTGGAACAAATGGATAATCCTGTGCATGATTCATGAACAATGGCACCTAGAAAATGGCACCTACACAAATTTAATTTTTAATTACAGGTTGCTAGATAAAGAGCAGTGATGCTGATAATGTATTTGCTAAGCTTGTCTTGCTATCTGATATAGTTCTGTAGAAACATCTTTCAGTTCTTTCATTTGCTTGAGGCTCTGTTTTGTGAGCTCTTGTAGCTCTTAGTCAAGGATTGCAGTGTTTTACTTAATTAAGTAAGCTCAAATATATACTTGAAGAAATTACTGAAAAAAATTATAGCAAAAAGTTTTCTACCGTAAAAGCTCAGAGTAAAAAAGTGTATTAACTCAAGAATAAAGTCAGTTTATGGTAATGTATACAGCTGTCCTGGTCGGCTCAGTAATCCCAGCTCTCTGAGGAAGGCAGTCTTCAAATGTTCTATTATTTGGGCTTGTCCTTATATCTTCCACTGAGGATTGTCTGTGTCCTAGAAAAATAGTGACAAGCATTTCTAGCCCCCAACAAGTACATTTTAAAAAAATCTTTCCTTCTCATTTCTCAGTACATAGTTTCATGGAATCCCATAACTTATTTTTCCTCAGTTTTCTAAACCATTGCTTCCATTGAAATAGACTGGGTCAGATTATTCAGAGTTCTCCCATATTTTCATTTTCTGTTTCCCTGCTCTAATGGAAGGCCTGTATGTAGTTTCCTTTTGCCCCCAGTTATTTCAGATTGTACATTTATATCTGGATGGTGGGGCATACTCTCTGCTCTGGTCCATAGGGCTAGGCAGGAAGGATTCATTAGAATCAGAGCTGGAGTCCATTGTGTAGCCAGGAGCAGAGAAAAAGCAAGATGGAAGTGGAGGCCAATAAATTAGACAGCCTGGAGGCCAGTTCTGGGGCTGAGGCATGCAAGCTGTAGTCATACTGCCTAGAGTTTAATAAACTTTGTAAAGAAATCAGCAACTTCTCCATTAATTCATATCCTCAACTCCATTGGAATGTGCTTCTATATGGTGATAGGACAAGATAGAGATACAAAGTGTATTTAGTGGTAATGGAATAAATAAATCCAATTTTGGAATATAGGGTACGTCTACACATGGCACTGTCACCATAGTGATGCGCTACAGTGATATAACTTGTCACTATGGCAAAGTAGTGTCAGTGCGCACAAACTGATGCCGATGCTATGTCGCCATAGCAATGAGCTACCTCACTATAGCGTGTTGCTATGGTGACGTAGCTGTTAAAAATAAGCCAGTGTGCCACTGGGACGGCCCAGTAACGGCTGTTACTGTGCTGTCATTTAGTATTTCCTACAGCAATTACTAAATGACAGCGCAGTAACAACTGCACTGCGGGGGGCACATGTAGATGCACCCATAATATTTTCTGATACAAAACATGATACTTTTGGGCTATGTGATATGTGGGACCCTGAGTATAATCATAATAAATAGTAATTGTAGCAATAGTAACATAATAATGCTAATAATACCTGGCTCTTATGTGACACTTCTCATTAGTAGATGCTAAAGTACTTTTATTAGAAGGAAGTCGATATCATTGTCCCCATTTTGTAGATGGAAAAATCAGAGCAGAGAAAGGAAAAAAAGCTTTGCCCAAGGTCACTCAGTAGCCTGTGACAGAGTAAAGAATGCAACCCACATCTCCTGAGTCCCAGTCCAAACCAATCTTAACTTCCAAGTATTGAAATACTGACAAATGAAACATTTTCTACTATTTTCACCTTTCCTTTTATAAACTTAGATCACTAAAAGAATTTGGGAGTTAGCTACAGGAGCTTGACTTCCAGACACCCAGGTTTGACCTTAGTCTGGTAGTTAACTGATGTTTACTATATTTGACTCAATAAGTCTAAAATGAGTCAGGTATATTTTTGTTTTGTTACTCAAGCAATACATATTTAATTACATGGTCTCTGTCCATTGCTGTTTAATATTGTATATGATCTAGAGATTTGTCCATTTAGATTTAATGCTTAGAAGTCCTTAGGAAACAAATATATTCACACATCCTGCAACATATAAATATGATGTAATTTTTCTAATAAGATATAATTTAAAAGATCAACATTCCACCACCAATTGAGGACAAAACTGAAATTTTTACTAAAATGTTGCCTCTGAAATGTTTAGGTGGTATCTCCAGCCTTGTAGTATGATAAACACTGTGAGTGAATTCTGTACACTTTGGATGTATGCCTACTTTGTATTAATCTTGACCCTCATTTCATACAGAGCCAGGTGAAAAATAATACAGCTAACTAATCCTTTTTTACCTTCTGGTATCCTGATTAGCAAGGTGTCACTTATTTCCCACTTTTCAGTGTATTCTTTGTTTACTGTCACTGTTTTCCTATGTCTACATTTGGATTTGTGCATTTTGGAGTGTGGATATATCTCTTAGTTACTGGGCCAGGTAGCTGAAATACACTGGGCTTTTCTTGTACATGTTACTTCTTACACCAAGAGCATTTTAGCTGGATTTTCTTGGTGTTGCACCTGGAAACAGAACAGAAAACAGCTGCACAGCTTCTGGTTCAGGAAGTAGTATATGCAGAGTGGTGTGGCACGTTCCAGCATGGGGGTGCCTGATAGAGAGTGGTATTGACGTGACTTTAGTGCTCACTGTTCCACTATATTCTACGTTTCATTTCATTGGGAGCTGAACTTGATTTATTTCTGTATTAATTTTGTAATTTTAATAAGCACTTCTTTATATCGAGCTTCACGTGCTCAAGTATCAGAATCTTTTGAGATTGATTTAGAAATCTCAGAATAACCTGGAAACCACAACACCAATCTTAAAATGCATTGGGACCTTTTTGTACTTCCTCGCCAACACAAAATAGTCCTTAAATTAATGCAACCAGCTATGAAAATATTACCTTAGCATAGAGAATCAGCAGTGACAGGGACCTATGATCACACATATTTTGCTTTCCCTTCGGACAGCAAAGGGAACTTGAGCCTGGGCTCAACTGGACCCCAGCAATCCCTGGTTTCTCTATCTTCTGCTGAAGCCATTGGCAGTTGGTATCATTAAAAGCAGCCCTTAGGATATCCTCTTTATATAGGAAAATGGGACAGGCACAAAGATAGTGCAAGCTCAAGGGAGCACAAATAACTTTAATTCCACTGTTGCCATGGAATTCTTCTTCATCCTCAAATTGAGCTGTGCACTGCACAGCCACAGCTGTAGAGCTGACCCTAGGTAGAAAAATTTTTCTTCCTTCAAAGTTTCATCATTTACATCACAAGGTAAAACTGTAATTAGCAAATCAGTTGTTTGTTTGTTTTTTAAATCTTGTTAGCTAAGAAACACAAATTAAAAATTGGATTACTTTAATATTCATTTTTTATTTCCTGTTTGCTTGTGCCTAGATGTATTTTCATTTGACCAGGTCATTCAGATTAGCATGCATAAGCATTACTCACTGAGGGAAATTAAATTAAATACAGTTTCAAACAGTCATATACCAGCTTTATAAAGTATCTTTTAAAGATTCCATGTCTACAAGGTAGTTTGTTAAAGTATGTTTCCAGTGCTTTCTGGGAGACATGCCTGACTCATTTGTACCAAATCCAGATATGCAGTAGTGAAGTTGCTCTGGAGGGGTCTCCTGCAGCCACTTTCAAAGCCTTTGTCTCTGATGCTTAAGGATAGAAACAGAATTTACCTTTTGTCACAAAGAGGAGTCTGCCATACCACAATGTGGCCATGACAAAAATTTGTAAGAATTTGTGCCACTTCATTGCAGCAGATGTCTATTTGCTTTATGGTAGAAGAACACAGGCAGCCTGGAGCTACCTGTGCTATTTCGCCACCCAGGCAGGCGCTCCCTGGGCTTGAGGGGCCAAGTCCTGCATGCCTGAGAAATTTCTGCGCAGGATCAGACCTCTCAAGCCCTTAGATTGCCTACCCAGCTTTCTCTGCTCCCTGAGACATGCCCCTGACAATATCCGGGGTGCAACTGGAAGCAGGAAGCTGAGATGCTCTGTTGCAGTTCCAGGGCTAGGGTCGGCAGTCAGCTGATACGCAAGTGATTGACAGCCCTAGCCCCAGGACCACACTTGAGTGTTGAATCCATTCTGGTGTTCTCCAGAGCTGAGACTGCTAGTCACTTGATTAGTAGCCCCATCCCTGGGGACCCATACCACATTGGAAAGTTCTGGTTTTCCCTGCTTCCAGAGACGTGCCCTCAGTATCTCTAGGGCACATCTCTGGAAACAGGGAACATGTTGCCCCTTGTCCCACAAGATCAATGGATGCGACAACAAGCAACCTTCTACACAGGTCACAGCTGATCTGCTTCATTTGGCAACATCTCTTTTTAGTCTGAATATACCAGCTTCTGGGTTTGGCATGTGCAAGTGGGAATAGATTGGTTGGGTGTGTTTGGGAGCAGGTACTCCTGACAGTGCCAGAGATGTGGTGTAGTAATACCCTTCTTGTTTGAAGCAAATAATGTATTTGTTTTCAAATCATTCAGAATACAGCAGGTTATTAATGTCATAATAAGTATAATCCAACCCTTAGTTCGGAATGTGTAAAACTTGCATTTCTTGGAGCACATTTTCATGTGAGACAGCTTGCTTAAACACT